CATTAATGTTAATAGCTTACCTAGTGCTACTTTGTGAATTTTTTTTGAGAATTTTCGATTTTTCACTTTGTAGACGTACCTCTGGTCGATATTTACTGACATCCGCTCTTAAAGAGTTCCTTAGCACTCTTGAATCCGCGACCTCTCGGTTGGACATCCGTGAGTGTTGTGTATGGCAGCTGAAAGTCGGACGCGAGTGCGAGGGACAGTTTAATATTTTCTGTAACGCAGGCGGCAAGTTACTCATTTGCTTATCATGTCAGTTGTAAAGTTAAGTACTTTGGGAAGTGAGGATTCGAGGGGAAGACAACGTTCTTCATGCTCAGTTCATGTGTTTCGCAGCTCTATCGTTCCAGGGACCCAACCAGTTTTCAGCTGTGGATGCATGCTTGTCACGAGGAGACAATTAGCTTCAAAGCGCCCTAATCAATCAACTCAGCAGAATCGGTTTTAGCAGATTACCTTCCTTTTGTAGTTCACTACTTTTCTTAACGAGGTGAATTCAGCAAAGAGGCGACCAAACTGAATCACAATTGCCGTCATAATTTGCCTCGGCAAAGAGGCAAATGAAAAAAGCGATTTGCTTTACCGAGGTGGACAAACTGAATAAAGTGACTTGGACTGACTGACAAATTATACGACTGACATAAGTACTTTTCGCATGCCATCGTAAGCATCAGTGATACGTCGAAAATTAATAGGCTATGCTTAGTCTAATCTGATTAGTTTTTAAAGGCATACGAGCTTGTGCGTTTACGATTGTCGTATACATCACTCGCGTGAGGACGAAAAACCCTAAATGCATAGTTACGTTTATATGCGGTTACGCGTCCTAGACAGACTCGATAGATAGCCTAAATAAAAGTAATAATATACACATACCTCCAAACGGAAGAAAGACCAGTACGAGTAGAATAAAATCCGTAAGGCTTCCAAACCAACGTTTGATATACATCTGATATTCGTTGCAATCATGGGCAGAGAAAAAATATTTGCCATTAACTCCCACTCACCAAAGGCGAAGATTGTACCGACGCAAATTGGAATCAAATTCCAGCTGAAGCATAAAGGTCAGTATAACTAAAATAGCATCGTTGGCGGAAATTAGCAGTCACATCATTAACTATGCCTTTCATTTGTTCAATTTTTTTTATTCAATTATTATTATTTTAGTGTTTTTCTATCTAAAAATGTATGTTTTTTTTTTTCCTCGAAATATCCTCTATTTTCACTGGCATTTAACACAAATGACATAAAGTTGGACACCCTTTAAGAGAATTCAATATTTGGTTTTGATTAGCATATTTGAAGCTTAAGTTTGTCCTCTCTGAGGGGCGGGAGCGGACTCTCTCCCCTCCCCACTCCTCCTCAAGTTAGGGGCTGGAAACGACTGAAATTTTAGACTTTAAGAGCTAGAGTTAATACAAATACGAGGTAACTTTTAGTAGCTCTTTAGAGGTCTTGAGCTTTAAAATGACACATGCCCTCATTTTTTTCTTTTTCTTCCTTTTTTCGTTCGAAAGCGATGGACGGTCAGTTAAAACATGAAGTATTAAACAGAAAATGTAAAACGGAAAATGTAAAACCTTTTTCTTTTTAATCCCATCGCCATGTTTTCAAGTTATGTATGATTTTAAGAAAAAATAGTCACAAGACAAATCACGTGATTTACTGAAGATGACGAGGTCTTTCGGTCTTTCGAGCTGTAATCTTCCTGGTAACAAGCTACTTAGTGAAGGATGCTACAATTGAAAAAACTCGTAAAGTAATCGGTAAAGCCTTTTCCCCTGGCTTTCTGCAAATTCTTCATTTGTCCGTTCCTCGAGTCGTACAGCAATTTCGGGATGTCATCGTAGACATGGAATTCGGTGTCTTTCAGATGTTTCCGGGCTTGATGCACCACTAGTTCCTTATCTCCATAACTTCGTTTTTCCTTTTTTTTTTTTTTTTTTTTCATCTGGAGGTGGCAAAGAATCTTTGGAAGCTTTTGACCGGTTTTTGCGTTTGCCCAACATTAAAAAAACTATAAATTTTCCACAATGATCCAGGGAGCTCGGCGAAACACGTTTACTCTACCGTGTTACCAGTCCCAGTCATCCACCAAACATTTGCTCAATTGACATATTCTGATTTGCAAATCATTTCTAATGCCTTTTGAAATAATAGGGGACAAAACTCTCGAGGGGAGAGGGGAGGAATTTGTTCTACTTACCTCTACCCGGAGGGTCCGTACCGACGTACGGTGACGTCTTAACCAAATTTTGTCGGGTGGATAGTTTACTAAATTTTCTTAGGTATGGAGCTCCCCGCTCGCTCTCGCGGAGGCTCCGCTGTTAGACCCAGGCCTTAAACTACTTAAGAACAACAAGATTTTTTTTTTTTTGGAACCATCGAAAGGGCTGCTATAAATAGATATAGAAGGACCTTTTTTGTACCTCGTTTAAAATTTTTTGGTTACATTCTGCTGATCAGTGGAGAAGGTTCGCGCTTGTATTATCTAAAAGGCGGCTGTTTACCCCTTCCAATTGCCACCGCAATTTACTAATAATTATGGTATATTCGGTGTTACAAGTAAGAAAAGATAAGGTTAAATATGAAGTTAAATCCAAATAGTATACCCTAACCTTAATGCAGATTACAAAGGTGTAGAAGTGGTTAAAGGATGCCCACATATGAAAAAAACAATAATTGAAGAGAAACCTCCTTGTTCAGATTTACTTTCTATTGTTCTTTTCATAAACCTCCAGGATGACAGATTTAAAATTGTAACAGAAATTAAACTGAATTTTGGTCGAGTCCGTAGATGCGTATTTTATACTTCGATAAAAAGCTTTGTGTATTTTTATTTGTAGTTGTACTGTATTTGTATTTCATTTTCCCCATTTGCTTTTGAGTACATTGGTTTTAAAAGACAACAGAGTTACATATAAATGGAGAAGGGAACGATATACAGTGGATCCTCTCCTTTGGACAAAGGGGCACCTCTTTTCAGGAGACACAAAATTTGGTCCCGGAAGAATGTTCAGTTGTTTCTCTATTCAGGGGAAATTGACACTTTTTCTGGGTCCGGAAACCCAATTTTAACCTTCTTTCAGGGGACACCTTAGCACTCAAAAAGCGACAGACCACAAAAAGTGTTGATTAGTTTCAATGTTCACCAGTCAAATTGGCTACAGCTTTTAAAACATGAACTATAATCTCACTAAAATCGGTGACTAAGCTTGTGAAAATTCAACATACAACATCGAACACGTCTTTTCTAATAATTATCTAGCTGCTTGAAATATTGACTGCAGCAGATTTCCAGGCAGAATAAAGTATATATATATTTTATTTTTTGGTTCAATATTAGCAAACTCAAACCCAGCCTCCATTCAGGAAACACCTGTTCTTAAGAAACACTAGCCTTGGTCCCGAGGGTGTCCCTTGAATAGAGGTTCCACTGCAGTAGAACTTATTATAAGCTGTTTCAATTATAGATCAAATTTTATTCTTCAGGATAAAAGAGAAAATATAAACGATAGGAAAAGAGAAACACCCAAGTAAGATACATGTAGAAGATACAAGGGTCTGCGTGGCAGCGATTAATACACCAGAATTGATTGATATAGCCAATCTGGTATACTAATCAGGAGTTCTGGATCCCCAGATTTCCCAAAAACAAGATAGTTTTTCGAAATTTTCTTAAATTTTCTGATTTATTGTGAACCTTTTGCAGAACTGGAGATGTGTGAATGAACAAGTTTTTGTAATTGATTATATATTTAATTTTGGTAGAGAAGAAGCTACTCCGAATCGCGCACATTTCGGTTTAACGGTAAATTGAGCCAAAGTATGAAACTATTTCGAATCGCCTTTTTTTATCATCCTGAGTAATAACCAAATTAGTGTATGAACACTCAATGATCTTGGCGTTTTAAGCCATCTGATTGCTTCCCGATCTCGGGCTTTATTAATGCGGTGAATATAGAGCAAAACAAAATCGGTGAGTAAACCCGGCGTTTTGCTTAGCATGCGTAGCAGGCGTCGAAAAGTATAGGGGATAGGGAGGAACGGAGAAAGGGAGGTTGATTGGAGGGAGGGTAAGGAACGCCGCTACTTTTCCTTTTCCCCGTTTTCGCGCTTTTCTCCCTCCCTCCCCATTGCAAGAAGCGACAAAGCGACATTTTTCATTTTGCGAGTTGACAGAAACACAAAGTTCTGCATTTCGTCTCAGATGAAGATTAATGTAAGATTTTGACAATTCCTTTTAAATCGTTGATGCTAAAGCCTGCAAAAGGATGGAATCTATGTTTTCCAAATTTTGAAAATGCTGTAAAAGTCTACCCTCTGTGCATCTCTTGTTTATGGCTTCATGTTCATTCCTGAATTAACCTGTCAATCAAACTAATGGTTTCCTTTCTGATTCTGTTGAGATCATTCTGTGTGTATGAATTATACTAAAACATTTTTTTAATCTCAGTGAATAGTGGCCTTAGAAATAATATATTTGTCACTCTTGTTTTTAAAGAAATTTGATATCAAACTCATTAAATATTTAACTGATAATTTCATGGAAGAATAGCAATTACAAATTTATCGTAATGAAATAATAAACTAGGCGAATGAGTGTGCAGTATGATACTTACAGTTTACTAGTAGTATTAGTTGCTTTTCTGTAATCCCAGCAGAGTTGTTTGCTTTGCATGTATACGATCCTGCATCAGTTTTGCTGATTGAGCTAAAATTGAGTGTAGCTGTTTTAGAGCCAGAAAACTTCACTCTTCCATTATGAATCCAGCTCACATCTGGGACCGGTTGGCCAGTGGTTTTACAGCTGATAATAACAGCCTCCCTTTCACTGTACGTTACATTGGCTGAGGTAGGATAGGTTATAATCGGTAACTCTGCAAAGTGAGGTAAATGAAAAGGCCAATACATAAAACATAAATTGCGATTGGAGATCCCCTTTAGGAATAAATTAAACTTTTTGGCTTGGAAAGATAAAAAAGACAAGAGAAATGGATCAGAACTTCAGGGAACAGTCGAAGAGCGATGCAATATATACCTGTGAGAAACATTTTGCACCTGAAGATATCGAAATATGTAAGTATATGTTTGTAAACTTGTTTTCGTTAAATTGTCGGATTTGCTTTGAACTGGGTTTTCATCGATTTTTCGATCAGTGTTGCTGCTGTTTGAAGTTCGTTCTCAATGTGGATATGGTTTTAGTTTTGACCAACTTGAAGTTTGGCAATTTTATGCTTTCTTTGATAGATCACTCTGCGAAAATGACTAAAAAGAAGCCCAAATTTGGAGCTTTGCCGAAGTTGAATATGCCTACGAAAAGTTATGAAAGAGGCAAGCCTTACACCACGTCCTGAACGTTCGGTTATAAAATAAGACGAGGGGCCTTTACCACAGCTACTACAATGGATTTTCAGAGCTCTGCCAGCGAGTTAAAAGCCTAAAAAGCCTTGGTAACTGGACTCTGAAGATCTTTGATGACAGAATTATGCTTAAAAAAATGGTGGATCTGTACGTGTTGCCACATTTAGAAATTATTATAGATGACAATCTTGGCTTTACTGTGAACGTTTTTGGTTCCTATTTCCCTGAAGATCATCCCTTATACCTGGATTATCGTAGAACAGTTCGAAACATCACTCTCTCTAACGGAGGGGTACATATTGTGCGATGGTGTGTCTACAATGGAACGTAATGGAAAATTGTATCATCATGTCATACCATTGATTCATGACACATTTGGAGAAGAAAAGGAGCATCAGTTCCCACAAAAGGGATTTTGGAGAGCAAAAGATTGTTTTCTTTTTGTCAGCAAGTTATCCCTTTTATGAATCTCTTCTGACAGGAACAAAAAAAGCTGTTTTCGAGAAGCAGCACAGGAGTCCGCTACCATCCTACATTGTGTCCTATGATCATCAAGTTCTGTCTTTTCGTAAACTTTAATCCGGGTTTCCTTTTCTTTTCTTCAAAAGCATTTTGGTAAATAATTTTCTCTATTTTCTTAGAGCCTCTAAATAACAAGTTACAGTGTGGCACAATATTTTTGCAGGTTCTAATTTTTGCGATTTTTGCGGTTTTTCCAGCGATCCGCAAAAATAAGTTTCCCTCAAATATAAGTTACCGCAAACATTTTTCCCGCAAAAATTTGATTTGCTCCAGAGAAAATATTCTCTAACTTAACATCAGTTAATTAACGACTGTTTTCTCGCTTTTTGAATAGTAAACAAAAAATGTCTTTTTTAAGACAAAAAATGTCTTTGAGGACTCTTTTGTATAAATCACTTATCAGTGAAATTGATATCCTCAATAAAGATTATTATTATTATTATTGTTATTATTATTATTATTATTATTATTATTATTAACAGAATTCCGAAATTGTATGTTGCTTTTTTGTTTGATTCTTTGTTTTTGCCATGATAATACAGCGTGTTTAGAGAACTAAAGCTCCATCCGAGAATTAAATCTCTGACGTCAGTCACACACTGAGAAAAGAGAAAAAGGATCAAGTTAAAAGTACTCCGAGTGAAATTCTTGAAGGCAATCATTTGTTCGATAAAGTTCGGTCATTNTCAGCAAGTTACCCCTTTTATGAATCTCTTCTGGCAGGAACAAAAAAAGCTGTTTTCGAGAAGCAGCACAGGAGTCCGCTACCATCCTACATTGTGTCCTATGATCATCCGATTCTGTCTTTTCGTAAACTTTAATCCGGGTTTCTTTTTCTTTTCTTCAAAAGCATTTTCGTAAATAATTTTCTCTATTTTCTTAGAGCCTCTAAATAACAAGTTACAGTGTGGCACAATATTTTTGCAGGTTCTAATTTTTGCGATTTTTGCGGTTTTTCCAGCGATCCGCAAAAATAAGTTTCCCTCAAATATAAGTTACCGCAAACATTTTTCCCGCAAAAATTTGATTTGCTCCAGAGAAAATATTCTCTAACTTAACATCAGTTAATTAACGACTGTTTTCTCGCTTTTTGAATAGTAAACAAAAAATGTCTTTTTTAAGACAAAAAATGTCTTTGAGGACTCTTTTGTATAAATCACTTATCAGTGAAATTGATATCCTCAATAAAGATTATTATTATTATTATTATTATTATTATTATTATTATTATTAACAGAATTCCGAAATTGTATGTTGCTTTTTTGTTTGATTCTTTGTTTTTGCCACGATAATACAGCGTGTTTAGAGTACTAAAGCTCCATCCGAGAATTAAATCTCTGACGTCAGTCACACACTGAGAAAAGAGAAAAAGGATCAAGTTAAAAGTACTCCGAGTGAAATTCTTGAAGGCAATCATTTGTTCGATAAAGTTCGGTCATTGAATTCATCAAGCTCGATCTAAAGGGGTGACGGTCAAGCTGCTCGAAAGTGATGTCGTTTGTAGTTACGTCGTCCAAAACCTGATAATATGAGTTTTGTCGCCCAAAATTCAAAGAAAAGTCGCCCGCAATCCTCACTCAAGACATTCTACAGTGTTTTAGTTTACAGATTCTTGTTTCTTTCGTCCTGTGAAGAACGAGATATAGTACGCGTTTAAAGCGCTTGATTCGTCTTAGCATAGCGTAACGAGATATCTTCACATAAATTATGATCGATAGCGCTTCTTTCTTCAGGCACCTGACGGCGATTTCCTCATAAATGCGTCTTAGCATCCTAGGGCAACTTCAGTCTTTTCGAAATTACAAGGGCTTCAGCATTATTTTGCCGAAAAATTCAGCTTCCACTTGAAAGTTTTAGGAAAGTGAGAATTTCATCGTATTTTCGGTTCCGAAAGTTTTAGGATTCCTTAATTCTCTACGAAAAATAGCTTAACCTGGGGAGTGAAATGGAAAAAATTAAACTTCAGAAAATCGTAAGGAATTTATTAGATAAGCTTTGAAAATTGTACATGCATGGAACGGTCATCTAGAAATGTTTAGCCCTCCTCAACCTATAGAAAATTCTAGGCAGTTTTTGTTTCTCCGATTTAATTACCTTCGTTCGTCTCAGCATGGCTTAAAGAAATATATTAAACTAATGTAATCAACTTCATTTCTCTGTGCATTACTGCTAATAAATATTCCGGTGGTATAACTATAATTTTCAAGCGTCATAACTTCAGTGCCTCGCATGCAATAGCAGGCCTCTTTGCGATTCCGGTCAACACCCGACAGCCGAAGGAATTGGTTTACACTGATCTCGCGTCAATTACAGGCTAGACGACTATTAAGTTGTGATTTTCAAATGGCTACGGTTACGATCAAATTCCAAAACAGTCTCAATTGGTATACTTGATTCACTTCGACCAGTTATCAACGCTGATTAAATCCGCTGAAAACCCAGGCCATTTTTATCATCTTAGCAGTTTTAGTAATCAAGCGTGTTCAGCGTGTCTTACCCCGAATTGCACGCTAAGCGTGCTACAATTCGCACACTTACCGTGACATATGGCACCCTACAAAAAAACAAAAGGTATAGCGTGTTAAATTTACCAAAACAAAGGCGTGTGTCCGTCTTTGTTTTTTCAATTTAATATGCGCATATCCGTGATCTACGGCACGCTAAGCGTGTCGTGCAAGCGTGTCGTGAGCGTGCTTTCACCTTTAGCATAAAATTCCTGTGGAGGGTCACAAATACAGTACTAAGGAATCGTATCCGTTCAATCACAACTTGTCTCTTTAATTCAGAAACAACGAAACACTGGTTTGTTATTTGAAAATATGTATTTTTATTACACGTACTCGATGAAAACGAGAATATTATGAAAGCTGGGTACTAGGTACTTTCGGAAAATCGCAAAAACTAATTCCCAGCAAGAAAAACGAATCTGTCCTAATCGCAAAAATTAGTTCCCGCGAAACACAAAAAATCTCCAATCCGCAAAAATAAACTCCTGTAAAAATTTCGTGCCACACGGTATATGTGAAAGGGGTTACCGGTTAACTGAACTTAATCTTAAAGCTTTCATATTCGAATTCAAATTTTGCACTAATTCTGGCTGGTTATCTTAACCCAGCTTTGAACAACCTGGCCCAGGAATCTAAACGTATCCTGCACAGGACTTAACACTCCGCTGTTCGAGACTTGGTAAATTTGGCTCTGCATTATTTGTGAACAGTTCTTAATTCAAATGATCTCGTTGATTGATAAGTGGTTTACAATATTCATCAAAAATAACAAACAACAACATATTTTATTAAATTGCCAATGTCTTATGAAGGATAATAAAATGTTTTACATTACTCTTGCCTAACTGTTTTCTGTTCATGGCTCCTCATGATCTCCTTTCGGAGCGCTTTACCCTATGATTGCTTTGCATTAACTTTGTAGCGCTGAATGATGTCTTTAGTACAAAATGACAGCACCCTATTATACAAACTTACAATAGCATGGGAGACATTTTTGCTCACTTCAACACTGGTATTAACTCTGCATCTGAAACCATTCATTGACAGCTTGACAATAGTTATCTCACTGTCAGTTACCGGATACTGTATAATGCGTTATGCCAGCAATATCCACTTTTTTCAAAGAATTTACTGAAGCTAATTGTCTAAAATGTCACTGTTTTTGTTTTGAAAAATGCTCTGTACATACTTTGTAATGTTCCACAAGCCCCACAGTTTAAACCTGATGNTGTTAAATTTACCAAAACAAAGGCGTGTGTCCGTCTTTGTTTTTTCAATTTAATATGCGCATATCCGTGATCTACGGCACGCTAAGCGTGTCGTGCAAGCGTGTCGTGAGCGTGCTTTCACCTTTAGCATAAAATTCCTGTGGAGGGTCACAAATACAGTACTAAGGAATCGTATCCGTTCAATCACAACTTGTCTCTTTAATTCAGAAACAACGAAACACTGGTTTGTTATCTGAAAATATGTATTTTTATTACACGTACTCGATGAAAACGAGAATGTTATGAAAGCTGGGTACTAGGTACTTTCGGAAAATCGCAAAAACTAATTCCCAGCAAGAAAAACCAATCTGTCCTAATCGCAAAAATTAGTTCCCGCGAAACACAAAAAATCTCCAATCCGCAAAAATAAACTCCTGTAAAAATTTCGTGCCACACGGTATATGTGAAAGGGGTTACCGGTTAACTGAACTTAATCTTAAAGCTTTCATATTCGAATTCAAATTTTGCGCTAATTCTGGCCGGTTATCTTAACCCAGCTTTGAACAACCTGGCCCAGGAATCTAAACGTATCCTGCACAGGACTTAACACTCCGCTGTTCGAGACTTGGTAAATTTGGCTCTGCATTATTTGTGAACAGTTCTTAATTCAAATGATCTCGTTGATTGATAAGTGGTTTACAATATTCATCAAAAATAACAAACAACAACATATTTTATTAAATTGCCAATGTCTTATGAAGGATAATAAAATGTTTTACATTACTCTTGCCTAACTGTTTTCTGTTCATGGCTCCTCATGATCTCCTTTCGGAGCGCTTTACCCTATGATTGCTTTGCATTAACTTTGTAGCGCTGAATGATGTCTTTAGTACAAAATGACAGCACCCTATTATACAAACTTACAATAGCATGGGAGACATTTTTGCTCACTTCAACACTGGTATTAACTCTGCATCTGAAACCATTCATTGACAGCTTGACAATAGTTATCTCACTGTCAGTTACCGGATACTGTATAATGCGTTATGCCAGCAATATCCACTTTTTTCAAAGAATTTACTGAAGCTAATTGTCTAAAATGTCACTGTTTTTGTTTTGAAAAATGCTCTGTACATACTTTGTAATGTTCCACAAGCCCCACAGTTTAAACCTGATGCCATTTTTTGGGTCTCATACATCCATGCCCCAGTTTACCAGCTCTCAAGATCGCCATTGCCCGTGTTGGTTCTCTGTTGTGCTCTTTCTTGCATACTTTTTGTGCAAGTTATGCAACACATATCCACCAATATGCTGCAGATCAGCTTTTTCTATAAGATACCACGACGGCGACGGCAGCAAAAGCGTCACTCAGAAAGTGAATTCTCCGTTCCGAAGTTCAAAGTAATGCTGGTAACGAGTAAGGCTCGCATAGCATGTTGGGGCTGTTTTGGGGGACGGTGAAATGGAGGATTAGCTTGCACAAAGGGGAAACGTCATGGGAAAACTAAATTGCTGCGTGCCAAATTGTGTAAATTCTTGGCGGAATCCACCAGGAATTAAATGACATTTCCTTCCAAAAACAATCTTGAAGGAAAACAGAAGGCTAATACGGAACGAAACTCTTAAGGAATTTCCCCGAATACTCGGATATGTGGATTACACTTTCCCGGAGGTGAAAGAATGTGAAGGACTCAATTACCTTCGATCTTTCCTTGGACAGAGCCAAGCAAAACCCGTCGCGAGATACTAAAAAACGACTTACCCAAGGCACGCAAGAGGAGAAAAGATAAAGACAAAATTCAAAGATCATAAGACACGTAAGCTCACTAGTCGAGTCACCAACACAGTTGTCTAATGCTGTAGACGACATTCAAAGACTGCCACCTGAAACTGTACGGTCTGTAAGTTCGCTTGTTGAATCGCCAACATCTAATACTGAAGACGAAATTCAAAGATCACACATTGAATTGGAAACAATTAAAAGAGAGCAAACTGAAAAGGAAGAAATTCAAAGACTGAAAAGAAAGAAAATGAAAGATTACAGATGCAAAAAGAACTCGGCTCTTTGAAAAAAGAAGTGAATAAATTAAAGTACAAATTGGAAAAAGAGCCACTGTTTAATATTGATGACTTCAAGGATAATAATGCAGATATCACGTTTTTTACTGGTTTTCACTAGCTAGATTCTGGATGCCACATGAGAAGATCAGACTCAAGTTTAGTTTACGGCACTAGCTCTCTTGGTGAGCCCTTGTTAACAGCTATACCTAAGCAGCTGATGAAGGATCCAACATTTTGGTTGTGAAACCGGTCTTGCAGTCATAGCTAAGCAGAGTGTTTCGTTCTTCTTAGAACTCAACAACGACACACTTACAATCTGGTACCAAAAAGATCAGTGCTATTTTGCGTTCACTGCGGAAAGCCTGGTTTTGTACTTACATCTATGCGATCTTTTGACTCAAACAAGTATATTCTCAACCAGCTACCGATTGCAGATTAATGGAAGGAAAGCTTTCCATAGGACTCTTTAGTCCTAGTAGTTCGATATCCTTTAATGACAACGCAATCCTAAGAAATTTTATTCTTCGAAGCTTTTTAAAGATTTGCCGCCAACTTGAAGGGAATTTGCATTTGATCACATTTGATTATAGAACGACGCTCGACCTGTAGTCAAGCATATCATTCTGATTACAGCGTAACCGAGTCAATAAAATAAACGTTAATGATCATTGTCACTCCTTTTAAACCGCGAAAGTTGATCTAGATTTTGCGAACGTGGACGCTGAGGACTCGTAGCCATTATAACAACCCTGATGGGGTGCAAGGAGGCTATATTTAATTTGTCAACGAAAGTACTATTGATTTTTAATACAAAGTTTCCTATTATTCCTATTTTCTCAATCCTGAATTTCCTATTTTCCTATTTTTTTAAACAACCATGCCGCTGCACACCCTGGAATTCAGTGAGTTAGGTGGAATTTATTGTGGCCATGTATGAAATGGCTTGACAGGCTCTGATTAAAAATCACCTGACTCTTTTAAAATGTATATTTTGCAGTTAATTTTTTATCTCGGTAATTTTTGTTTTTCTTTTGTTTTTGGGTATGGTAATGTGTGCTAATGAAGTTGAAACAGAAGAAAAATAAAAGTTATCTGAGATAAAAAAAAAAATAACTACAACTTATATGGGCATTAGATTATTACAGGACCTCTTGCGTGTCTTGGGTTACTCGTTTTTTACCACCTAGTGGTTCTTTTAGCTTGTTTTTTTCCATGGAAAGATTGAAGGTTATTGAATCCTTGACATCCTTTAGTGCAGTCCACATATCCTAGTATTTGGGAAAGACTCCTCAAGAGTTTGAAATGTCTTTAAGAAGCGAATGCCATTTAAACCCACAAAGCCCCCTTGGTGGTGCATCTAGCTTAGTCTTTGAGATCTCTTACTCTTTTTTAAAAGTGTAAGCATACTTTTAAATTGTTACTATCCTTTTCGACACGAAAGGTGCTTTGTCCTGTGCAGTTGAGGAAAGGTTAGGAACCTTCAGTTTGATTTTCATGTTATAAAATGTATATATTTTTAAATCAGGAGTCAGGAATCTACTTTTTTCACATAGCTATTTATGGCTTCAATGTCATTTTTAACTTTTCAATAAACATTAGTTGCAATCCTGTACTCATAGACTAGTTTCATTACAGGATAAACTGAACTGTAATCTTTACCTTGGTTGTAAAAATATTATTGTGGATATGCTATCTATAGGATAAATCACTTTATTATATAAACACCAATGAAATACCAGGTGCGCTTTCGTGCGAAAACACGATTAATCGTCACATATTATCTTCACACGTGAAAAGATCACTGTTGCTATGGTTACAAATAAAAACACAGCTTTTGCAGCAAAAAATATTAAAGTGAAATGTACTTTCCAACAGAAAAACATTACCCTGCGCGGCAGGGTAATGTCTTCTATATCCAGTTAATAGCATAACTGCTTTGGTAAATGCTTATCCACTGAATAATGATTTGTTCTGTGTGGGCATTATCTTCTCTTGTACTATTAGAAATTTCTGCAATTTGATTAGCTTAGAGCAGTGGTATTTCAGCTTAATTTGAAATACTTACATGTGAAAATTACAAACCTTTTGCGGGTAGTAGTATAAACAAATAATACCATGATTTGTACAATATATTTAGCATAAATACCACTCGTGATATTTCAAAATTATCCGTCAAATTTCACTCCCCTAAAGGCTCGTGAAATTACCTGTAACAACTTCGAAATATCACTCGTGATATTTGTGCCAAATATCACTACAAATCATGCCTTTACCTGTACTACTCGAAATTTATTTTCCTCCTAAGTTACTTGTAAACCATAAGTAATAAAGAACACATACCCTGTACTTGGGGTTGAACTAGAAAAAAAAAATAGCGAGATACCTTGTCTGAGTTGTATCGTGATTGAATTCTATGTGGACAGTTAAGTTGTATATATATATATATATATTTTTTTTGTTTTTGTTTTGTTTTGTTTTGTTTGTTTGTTTGTTTGTTTTTTTTTTCCACTGGGAGACTGCCCATCTCAAAATATTAATGACTGGAGTGGTATGGGTGAGGGAAAAAATTTCATCAGTCCTCCAGTAGCGTGCCAACCCTAATCCCTAAGATTGATTATACATTGTTTCAAAGACAGATAATTTGTTAGTCGTTTACACTTGACAAACTAATGTACAGAAAAGCAATCTCCTTATATTCCAGCGAGGTTGGCCTATAGGAGCACTCTTAGATAGACCAATTCAGGCAGGATATTTTGAAAATAGAATTTCTCAAGTTTCTTGAGTGGACCTTCCTAAAAACCATCGTTAAACTCGACTAATTTATGATTCAAGCAAACTCCATCTGAAACAGCAAAATGTGACTGCCTGTACTTGCGACAGAATAGTTGTTGTTGAAGTTGGTAGAAGTACTTATGGTTTGTATTCAAAACAATTTTCTCTTTATTTCGTTTGTAAATACCAAGTCTACATAGGGTATCTTCTCTGGGTTCGCCATCTTTTGATGTTACTTTNTTTTTTTCCACTGGGAGACTGCCCATCTCAAAATATTAATGACTGGAGTGGTATGGGTGAGGGAAAAAATTTCATCAGTCCTCCAGTAGCGTGCCAACCCTAATCCCTAAGATTGATTATACATTGTTTCAAAGACAGATAATTTGTTAGTCGTTTACACTTGACAAACTAATGTACAGAAAAGCAATCTCCTTATATTCCAGCGAGGTTGGCCTATAGGAGCACTCTTAGATAGACCAATTCAGGCAGGATATTTTGAAAATAGAATTTCTCAAGTTTCTTGAGTGGACCTTCCTAAAAACCATCGTTAAACTCGACTAATTTATGATTCAAGCAAACTCCATCTGAAACAGCAAAATGTGACTGCCTGTACTTGCGACAGAATAGTTGTTGTTGAAGTTGGTAGAAGTACTTATGGTTTGTATTCAAAACAATTTTCTCTTTATTTCGTTTGTAAATACCAAGTCTACATAGGGTATCTTCTCTGGGTTCGCCATCTTTTGATGTTACTTTCTAGATTTCCATTAAGGGTCCTTTCTCAGTAGGTACTAGCACCTAAGAAAGGGTGAGCTTCGGAAATGAAAAATCCACATTTCCTCATAACATTTCCTGTTTCCTTGATGAACCTTTCTATGATTCTGGGCTCCATATCAATGTCCTCCTTCATGAGCTTCGTTTGAATATTTGGCTTTCTGAATTGCCTTTGCTGGGCTTGTACTTTCCTTTAGGAGACATCTCTTTGTCTGTGAAGCTGTTATTCGTGGTTGACGAACGTTGTACCACAAAATAGAAGTGTGCTGATTTATTGTTGCTCTTTCAATTTCAACTCTTTCACTCGCCGAATCGAATAGACGTTTCTTTACTTGTTCCACCTTAAGGGGTATTTCGTCTAGTGACATTGGATGGACCTTTTCAGTTGAAACTAGCCTTCAATTCAGTTCTGAATCGCGAGGATCCTGTGCTGCCGGTTCTGGGTCATTATTCTGTAGGGGAACATAAGGTAAAATAAAACTAAGACCAACCTTTTTTCCCGTTTTCTTGCCAACTATTTTGACCTCTTCATAAAAGCTCTTTAGCTCAGAATCGGAGATTGCTCGTTCATGAGGAGCTCTGACATCTTTCTGAGGTCTTACAGATCGTTTCTCGTCCTTAACATATTCGTGTTTTTGAAACTTCAAAGACTATATGGGTTCTGCATTTATTTTCCTTTTTTTCGGTAAATTCCATTGGCATGGCTTTGAGGTGCGCAGCACATTAGTTTCTTGGTGACTCACAGCGCCAGCAGTGTTTGCAGCTCTCGTGAAAACTCCATCGTCCTGTTTATCCTCTATTGCAAACAAAGTCGCAGCAAGATGGTTACATCGGCCATCTACTCTAGCCGGGCAGCCACGAATAGCGTTAGAAATGTCTCCGATTGGATTTATTATAACTTGGACGGTATACACTTTTTTTAATCAATACATTATTTTCATCCTTTTTTGTAAACATCTGTCGAACGTGGACAGATTTATAAAACCTGTATCCTTTTTAAATCGGCTTTTCGGTGGCCAGCTTCTTCCTAATTTCGACGTCTTCAATTAAATACTTCCAAATCTGGCTGAATGACATTCTTGGAAGCACCGAAATACCACACTCGAATCCATCGGAAGGAAAGTCAGTTTGGATTTCGGGATCGACTTCATCAGCGGCTCCTGAGTTTTTCATTTTCTTTTCTAAATTCAATAACCTATCTGTGTCCACTAAATCTTTATCGAGCCCATTTTTTGTGTAATCATTCACTCTAAAAGTCAAACAAAGCAGTAACAGTTTGTGATTTCATTTCTATCCTGGCATTATCAACAAATATCGTCAAGAAACTGCATCGAATCTAAAACTATAATGGTTCACCTTTCGACAAGTTCTCCTCGTTTTCCTGTAACTTTAGCTCCGCGGCAGGAAGCCACCGTTTAAGAACTGGCACAGTTCATTGTTCTGTTGGTTTTGGCAATTTTGCCCCTGGAATATCGTCTTCGTTCAATTTTATCGACAGATGCGATATATATAGCCGCCATAATTGTTCATCAGATCAATCGCCCTCGTCCCCCAAGACATGTATCTGTAATCTTTCTTTTTCCTTCTGCTCAGCTTGTCTTTGAATTTCCTCCTTTTCAGTTTGCTCTTTTTTAATTTTTTTCCAATTCAATGAGCGATCTTTGAAATTCGTCTTCAGTATTAGATGTTGACAATTCGACAAGCGAGCTTACAGACCTTACAGTTTCTGATGGCAGTCTGAATGTCTTTTACAGCTTTTGGGGGAACTGAGTTTTCTAGCCAGAAAAATGTTTCTATTTTTTGGAGGGGTGAGGTTGGGGGTTGTCTGCGGTTTCTAAGTCTAAGTTTTCTAGATTTGGGGGGCGCTGAGTTTTGAGGTCTCAGGTCTGAGTTCTGGACAACCAATCACAAATGCATTAATTATTTGTTTTTCTGTTGCTTGGTGATGATTTCTTTCCTTGTAAAGACTTACAGATGTGAGTACCTATAGACAGTACGCTTGTTACATTCTCAAGTTCATTAGTAGGTAGGAAAATCAGAATCTCAATCCCGTCATATGTTGTAAAACAAATTAGAAAGAGCATCCACACAAAATAAGTAAATTGTATTAACTTTGAGAATGTCTATCAACAGTTAATATTGTTCCAGATTGGTTTGAAACCACTTTATGTTGCACAAAAAGATCATCCAATGGTATAGTGCATATGTAGCAATATGAACACAAATGATGAAACAGAGGATTCGCCACGAAGTGAATAGTATACGGATTTCCTTTCAAACCTCACAGAGCACGAGAAAGACGGAACCCTTAGAACTACGAAAATTTATTGACTACATTTATAGTTAACTCTCTGATCCACTGCCCCAAATGAAAGTATGATGACATAACCATACTACAAAGAAAATTAGACTAGTGCGTTGAATCTTAATCTCTGTTGTAGGATGAGTGTCTCCTTTTCTTGTCTTTGATGTTGACTGGTGAGGGGCTTGGAAATAGCCTAAAGCCGATCAGTACATGGGAGAATAATATGAATGGATATTCAGCCTAACCTGTTCACAAAAAACGTCTGCTGCATGGTATTATGGCACAACACATTTCACTAAAATTGAGCTGGCATAAAAAAAAAATCGAAATTTTGGTTCATTTGATCTTTAAAACGATCTACATTTTGTACTTGTACAGCTGTATTTCGTATTTCTCGCATTTTTTTAAATTTTATTTTCCTAAAACAAGAACTCAAATTAAAGGTGAAGGTACTATAAACAAGGCCAACCATGAGGGAAGAAAATTGCAACGACGAATGTCGAGTTTGTGAAATGATGTAAAATTCACGCAATGTAAGATCCAGAATTAATTTTTATCAAGCAGTTGCTGAGGGAACAGAGCTGGACAACAAGGAAATGTAGCCTGAGTTAATATTAAGAATTCAACTTCGCAATCGTGCGTGGAAAGTTTATGCGAGAAAAATTAAAACACTTTACGCACTCTTTAAAATTCCTATAAGTACATTCTTATAACGTGAGAAAAGGGCTGAGAGTCCGAGGATCTGCAAGAAGGTCTTTATAAAAGTAAGTTCCCCGCGGTTTTATTACCGGCAAGAAGAAATACTTGAGCAGAAATTCTCTAAGGATTAGATCATCTCGTCTTCAACAACCTAGTCTTTGATAATACCTGTCGAACAGGAAATGACTAGCACATAGGTAGCGTGATTTTTCTTTCTTCTAGCGAGTAATTAAAACAAGCCGTTGGAAGATAAGACTTCTCAAAACCAGTCCTTAAATTAAAGCTTATCTGCCAAGAGGGTCTTTTCCTTCATGTGGTTGCTTTCTAACTGCTTTCTTCTATTTTCCTTTCGAGCTTAACTTGAAACCTTTAGTTTCTAATTCTAACAATAAATTCCCGTAAGCCTTTAACTTTGCCTCTCCCACCTTTCGTGCTTCTCACGCGCCGAACCCCTTCTCTTTTTCTTTCAAACGCCTGCTGCGCGGGCTATAAATCGGAGGGAAAAAACTCGGTCGTAATTTACAGTACAGTCCTAAAGCCAGCTAATAAGAGGTATGTATTAGGCCATATTATAGCGCAACCATGTAAGAGCCAGTCTATGAAAACAGCGAAATTGGGCCTGGTCTTAGCCTACCTTACCTTTTAACCACAGGTTGTGGCATTAGTGATAATAACATCAAGGAAATGCCCTCACCTAGTTACACAAGTACCTCTATGGAAATAAACTCTTGAAGATTATCTTGATCCAGAAAGGGCTTGGTAGCTACATTCTTGATGCTATACGGTTTTATTAGGAAGGTTGCATTGACTACTGCTGCAACATACTGTGACTGAAAATTACTACCAAAGGCACTTACCAGACATCAGAACTGGCTGGCTGGACGGGTCATTTTGAAAATAAAATATTAATCATTTCTCGAAATTTTCCATTAAAACCACCATTGCCAAACATTACCATTTAAGAATAGACTTATCCGGCTGGGTAGGTGTGATCTATAGTTAAATTCCCTTTAGATTAGGCAAGGCTGATCGGACATGTAAGGGTCGGTAATTTATTTCCCCAATATTTCAACTGGACAAAACTAGTATTCCGGTACATGTGTAAAGAGGTAACTATAAAAACATACAAAGGATTAAGTTTCATCTCGTCTGTTTATCCCGACTGGTCAAAAGTTTTTCCCTTGTTGGCAAGGGTTGGATTTACAAATGGTACTCTGTCAGATTCCTGTCTTGTGGATGTTTCGAAGGCGTGGCTGCGTGAGATTCAAGAGGGCAAAAATCTTGAATCCTGTGGGATGAACAGACGAGATGAAACTTAATCTATTTAATACACGTTGTACAAGTTTCCGTCTATTTTCTTTCTCCACCAACAACATTTTATTTTTATATCTGCATTTATTTATTCTAAATACTAAAACCTTTTATTCTATTCTCACTTTATAGCTTTTCTAGCCCCTAATAAAGACTAGTTTTGTCAAGTCAAAATATTGGGCAAATAAATTACCAATCCTTAGCTGCCCGATCACCCTTGCCTTCGATTGTAAGTGTTATTCTATATTCTATCCTGATCTACATCAAGATCCAGCTTTCCCTCGCTCCTGCTTTTCCTAGAAGTCATTGCAAAAATTGGTCGCAAATTCTCTTAAGGGCTGGACTGGTCTGGCCAGTCATTTCCTTTACACCACCAGGCCTTGTGCTCAAGATTGCCATTGGTCACTGATAACTGAAAGTATATGCTATTTCACAAACGTGTCAGAAACTGTGTTTGCCATCTTCTAAAAAGGTTTTCTTTTTTTTGCAGGTGAGAAGAATGCTGAAGATTTTTTACTCTACCCACCTTTAACAGCGAAGTTCACAGTATCATATTTTGCCATCAAATCAAGATTTCTGGGATATAACACACAGCCATAGATTGTTTCATCTTTTGTTGTGATAGAATGAAGGGTGAAGATGACCTGACTATAAGAGGAATTGCCTTTGCGACTTCCAACTACTCGTCCATAGTATGTTGATGAGCTTGAAACTTGTACTGTGGCCGATTTTGTTACCTCCAGAAGTATTGTCACAAAATATTTGTTTGTTTTATCCCATACTCCCCATGAAATTCGTCTAACATCACCAGAAAAATTCCAACTGAAGTTGAAAGAGGAGTTAACCAATCCAGTCACAGTCTGACCACTATATTTTGATATAAACTGGATCTGGGTAGTTGCTACAAAAGTAAGTTAAAAGAATGGTTGTAAACAAACAGCAGAAACAGGTCACATGTAAACTAAGTACTGGTACAGGGTGCTTTGTCAAGAGAGTCTACAACCTACCCCATGATTCATTTTCACTCGGGATACAGTACAATACAGCCTAAAAATTATGCATGTGGAAGACATGCTGAAGATGGCTATAAAAATTATCGCGGGCCTCAAGAAAGTGCAAGAAGTTTGCATAAGGGTTTTGCGTATCGTTCGTCTCACGATAATCAAAAAGTTATTATTCAGGACGTTGTGACCACGTACCAGGGGCAGACCCAGGGACTTTTTATTTGGGCTTCCAAACTTTGGTTCAGATAGGACTGTTAAACTTTTTTGTGGCAAATAACTCCCCCCCCGCCCCGGCTAAAAAACCGGGCGCGGTTGCACGTTATTATTCCTTGGCTCCCCAACCCCCCTTCTTCCACCTTTATAGTGCAGTAAAATGGTGCGGACAACATGCAAAATTGTTCAAATTAGTGTTAAAAGCACGAAATTTGGCAGACATATAGAGGTCATCTGGATACTTCCAGCTTTTTTCCATGGAATTAAATGTCTTTAAAACAGCAAAAACACAGTCTGAAGTTAAAGCATAGAACCACGCCCTCTAAGTGACACTTCCAGAGTTATAGGTGAGGAATATATTATAATAAAAATACGCAAATTATGCACTGTTCAAGCTTGTGCATACTTTAACCTTATATATGGATAAGTGTTAATGTTATGAATAAATGTAGATAGGACACCACGCCCCTTTTCAAGTACTTCCAATTATACAGCTATGGAATCGAAAATATAAAAAGGCAGAGAAAGAGCATTTTTAGGATGGAATCAAAGGATTCAAAATGTCACTGTGATTAGCTACATTACGAAGTGACTTTCTATCCACGCCTTTGGGGGATACTTACAGATAATTAGATGCTACATTGGTATTACTGAAAGGGTACAATAGGGTGCCAAAAATGCGCGCACATGTCATAGTTCTGTACTTCCACCTCGTCAATAATATTTCCATGCAATTATTAGATCTTAAATGTTGCCACGTTCTTTATTGAGTACTTACAGTTGTACAGTCATGGAATTAATTCTCACAAAACCGAAACTTATATTATCTGAAATCTTAGTGATAACCCACACCAGTGCTTTCCTTGCTTTCCCATTGTTGAGGCGGCACATTTTATTCGTCGCGTCTTAAAATCAACTTTGAAAAATTAATTTCACTTTCGTATTAAACATCCTGCGTGGCGTGACGAGACGAGACAACTAAAACTTCTGTGCAGCAAAGTAGAACTAAAATCTGCCTCCAAGCGTTTCCACTACACGTAAAGGGCGCCAGCCTCAATGTTCAAGCGCACAAAAATGTCACGTGAAAATTGGCGGGAAAATAAAAGAAAGACAAATGAAAAATGAAATCCTGAGTTGCATTCACACAAACGTTAGTTCCCAAACATTCCGTCCCCCCCCCCCTCCGGGGATTCCTAGGGATAGAGCACTCAGATGTCCTCATTATCATTCTCCAGAAGACTTAAATTTTGAGCAACGCGACCAAGGTTTCAGCGATTTCGTGATGCATTTTCGTCAACCAGAAGTACCAGAGCATTTAGTTTTAAATTAGGTAGAGCTCTTCGCCATTTCTCTCTTACTTGTAATGATGGAAGATACACTCACAATCACCTCTGCGGTAAGAGCACAACCATTTAACACTTGTTCCACCTCAGTTAACAACGTCTGCAAAATTGCCTTTACCATTTGGGTTTCCATGATAGATTACATTTTCTTTTTCCATTTACATATTCGCTGATCTGTTCGCGCTCAGTCTGATGCTGGTTCCACAGTTCGAGACTTTCTCTCAGCTCTTTTTCACCACGCACAAAGTTGGTACCTCTGTCACACCTAAGTTGGACCACCTTGCGGCGAAGTTTTTGAATCTTTTAAAACACGGTATGAAATCATCTATGTCCATTGAGTGGACCAACTCGAGATGAACCACACGTGTGTCGGGCACCTGAACAGGTAGCACCAGCGTTTCACTGTATTCCCTCCAATCTTGATGTACAAGAGGCAAAAAATGTATATTCCGGCGAAGCAAAAGGGAAGGCCGACAAGCCATCATGCTACTTGTCAGAAGAGGTGCTATTTGTTGAGTCATTGCCTTGGCATGAAATTTTTTCAGACAATATATCAGCTAAGAACAGAGCAAACAGCCTTCCTGATCTGATCTGATCCGCCGCCCGGTTAGCTCAACGGAATAAGCGCCGGTCTGCTAAGCGACAACAACAACAACAAATGCTTTATTTGCATGACCATAAATGAATTACAGTATTGCAAGAGCTATTAGTCTAAATTTAAGAACTAATGCAACTAATTAGTACGTGCAAGACATTAAAAAACGTTACAGTTCTCATTCATTCATTCATTGATATTAATTTGGTTCTTAATTCAAAGCATTGCGAGATAAATGAAACTAATTGACAGTTAATCAAATAATCAGATGAGTTCATAAGAAGAGATATTAAAGTATCGTGTGAAAGTGATTTGAAGTCAGGTATTTTAGTTTCTAGTTTGGAGAAAAATGTGTCTCTGATCTGAGAATAAGCCTTACAATCTAGTAAGAAATGATTTTCATCTTCAATTTTGTTACCTGTACGAAAGTAACATATCTTTTCATCGCGAGGGATTTTTTCGTATCTGCCTGTTTCAGTTCTAAGTTGATGACTACTTATTCTAAATCTAACCAATGCTTTTAACGAAGAGTTTTTTCTCGTGAAAACTAGGTACGACGAAGGGCTATATTCGTCTTTGATTGTACAATAAAAACTGAGTTTTTGTGATTGTTGAAGGGTCTGATTCCAGTAAGAGACGTATTTATTTTTCATTTTCCGATATACCGATTAACTATTGAGTCACTCAATGAATTACAGGAAAAGTCATAGTTTAGATCATTAGTACTCAACCATTTTCACGATATTAGAGTAAAAGCTAGTTTTCCGTTATGGTGAAGGTCAATTGAAATATGTAAGGCCTGTTTAACTATAGAGTCGTCATCTTTACCTACCAGATAGTCTAAGTAATTTAGAATCTTTTTATTTATATCAATGATCATGGGGAATTTACCGAGTTCAGCTCTACAAGCAATGTTGGATGCCTTGTTATGTACTTGTAAATAACGTTTATAGAATTGCAAATGTTTTTTTCAATTGCAGAGCTGTCCCAGGACTTAAAATCTGATTTAACAAAAGCACCCCAAACTTCACCGTTGTAGGTTAGAATTGGTGAAATCATCGAGTCAAAAATTTTACACGCAAGTGATGGCTTAAGACCATTCAAATCCGTGTGCCGCCTTAGGCTGAAGAGCGCATGAAGAGCTTTTTTGTCGGAGGTGTGCAAGCGAAAGTGTAAAATTTCCGGAAGATGTGATGCGAGTTCCTAAGTAAGTATAGTTTTGGACAACGTCGATTACTTCATTGCCTATGCGGAAGTTATGGTCACATTTTCGTGTACATCGTTGAAAAATCATTATTTTGGTTTTCTAGGATTTATTCTAAGCATCCATGAGTTGCAATATGAAGACAGTACGTTAAGGCAGTTTTGTAGACCAAGTTTGGATCGCGATAATATTATCAAATCATCTGCCTAAAGGAGAGAATTGAGTCTGGTGCCATTTGGTAACACAAAAGGGTCTGATAAAACATTGTCCAATGAGAACGCTAGATCGTTAAGGTATAAGTTGAAGAGCAGAGGGCTTAAAATGCAGCCTTGCCGCACTCCTCTTGCGTATTGAAAAGATCGCGTTTTGTTATTTCCAATCCTGACAGAGCAGGTAGACTTCGAGTATAGACTCTTAATTAGACTATAAAACTTTCCTTGGACATTAATTTTAGATAACTTATAGAGAAGCCCATCATGCCAAACCGAATCAAAGGCTTTCCTAAAGTCAACAAAACACGCATATATTTTCTCCTTGTGACAATGGACATATTTGTCTATTAATGTTCGAAGAGTGAGGACATGATCTGCTGTTCTATTATTTGCTAGAAAACCAATTTGAGACTTGTGAAGTGTATTGTTTAAGTCAACGTGCTTTAGAAGTCTCTGATCGAGAATTGGACAAAATAGTTTTCCAATGCAACTAGAAATACAGATTCCACGGTAGTTTGAAGGATCGCTTTTAGTACCACATTTAAAAATTGGTGTAATGAGGCCGTCACACCACATTTGGGGCATTCCTAAGTCGAGGACCGGGTTAAATAGTTTTAGATAAACAGGCATTAATTCGTTTAAGCTACATTTGATCATTTCGTTTTTGATTTTGTCTGAAAATGAAGATTTGTTGTCTTTGAGTTTTCCAGCTGCAGTGCGAATTTCACTTTCAGCGATGAGGTAATCCAAGGAGTGAGATCGTGTTGGAATATCCTTTGAATTCTGCAACTCATCAATAACTGCCTCCTGCTGTTCGTTAAGGGGTTCATTCGAGTGTAGAGATTGAAGGTGGGACATCCATTTTTCTTCAGACATTGGAGGGGTGTAGGTTTCCTCCATAGTGTCGTCCATTGACTTCAAACAGTTCCAAAAGTCCTTATTGTTCGAATAAAATTTTCGACCGTATTTTCAAGTTCACAGATCTTATTGCTATAGTATTCGTTTCTCTTATGTTTCAAAAGGTTTCTATATTGCTGTAAGACGTTTTGATACTCTTCCCTGAGGGTATTGTTTAGAGGATCTCTGTGTTTTTTATTAGAAAGTTTCCGCAGTTCATGTCTTTTATAGCGGCATTATATTCTTTGTCGAACCATTTTTTGTTCGAAGATATTTTGCAACGTCGCTTTTTTGCTGTTTTGATTTTCAAATATCGTTTTGCGGTTGAAATAAGAATATTTTCAACTGCATCAAGGTTCATGTCAACATTTCTCGTGATTGTTGTAGTATTATAAAATCGTGGATCATTCTTTGAATGT